GGTCTGCTGGTAAGGCGAGTAGGAGGCCCCGTGGTGGTGGTGATGGTGGTAGAAGGCGTGGGGGGTGCCGCCGCTCGCCGCCGCTGCCGCTCCGGAGTAAGGGGGATAAGCCAAGGGTCTGCCGTAGGCGGCGGCGGCGGCGGCAGGGAAAGCGCAGCTGCCGTCAAGTGGTGGTTGCGGCGGCAGAGGGTGCAAGGGCTGGAGAGTGTATTGCTGCTGCGGCGGCGGCTGGGGCTGAGGAGACGGCGGGGGGCCCAGCCCGAAGTCCAGAAAGGCCGCCTTGGACGGCTCCGGCGGAGGCCCCAGCAAGCTCTCGGCTAGAGAGTTCATGGTCATCATCCAGCCTGCGCGGCAGCCGGAGAAGGACGAGCAGAGCGCCCAGGCGCGGCCGCATCCAGGGTCCATTATTAAAACCAGAAGCTAGTTTAAAATTGAAACAGAGTTGGGTCAGCACATCTGTGGGACAAAACTCTCAAACTCTGGACAACCTCTCCTACCAGATTAGTGATTGTATTAGTACTTCTCTACAGTAAAGCCAGAGTGACGGTTGCAGAAGGAAACTGAGTACCACTGAATAGGGTGCTGATAACAAGTGTCGAGGAAACTTGCAGTCACAAATTTTAAGATTAGGAGATTGTTTATTGTGCAAATAAAGTTTACAGATATTGAGTGTGTGTGGGTTTCAGAATGCTTTTTTATGCAGATTAGCTGCCAGTCTTGAAGAGGATTCTGACCGCCTTTGGTGAGACTTGAAAGGGTGGGAGCCGGAAAAGTTAGGTACCAGCCAGCAGGTTCAGGCATGTCTATTTTTCTCACCTATATTAGGAGGAGAGGGCAGGAAGTCCAGGTCGAACTGTTTTGCCAGTCCTGGGAGTGGGCTTGGCAGGGGAGTAGAGCATCTGAAAATCGGATCAGAAAGACACAGTAAATAATGAGTACAGATGGGGTTAAGATGGGGAGGGGACGGGAGGGAACAGGAAACATCTTGATCAACAGGTCTGGACAAGTCTAGCTCCCCTCCCCCACCTCGGAAACGGCTCCAGATATGTTTGTCAACACACTTAAGATGAGGTGAAGTTTTCTCTAAGACTTGCATTTGGAGGTGAGAAATAAAAGCATTTCAAGAAGACAGAAATTTAAGTTCTGTTTTTCTGGAAAAGTAAAAAGGTGTAATAGAATGGAAAAAGATGTCGCATCGGTGTTCCGTGTTCAGGATAGCCCAAGATATTTTGCCGCCTGAGGCAAAGGACAGGCTCCACTTACAGAAAAACTTAAGAGGGGGCTCCATCTCTCTTTAATACTGCAAAGGATCAAATCCACCACCATCCCTGAGAGAGAGAAGAGCCACCGAGGAGACCAAGACAAGCTCTGTGGCACATGCCCAGCTTTGGCCCTTCAAAGGTGCAAAGTGGCCCTGGCAGACTCAGGGGTAATAAGGAGGCTGCTTCCAAGTACAGTGGTGCCTCGCTTAACGATGTTAATTCGTTCCAGCGAAATCGCTGTAGAGCGAAAACATTGTAAAGCGAAAATAAAAAACCCATTGAAACCCATTAAAGCTCGGTTAATGCGTTCCAATGGGCTAAAAACTCACTGTCCAGTGAAGATCCTCCATACGGGGGCCATTTTTGGTGCCTGTCTAGCGAGGAATCCGTCCTGGAAAATGGGGGGGGGGCATTTTCTTCAGCCGGAGGCCATTTTGGAACCCGACGATCAGCTGTTCGCTGATCGTCATAATGCGAAAAATCAGTTCCCAAAGCAGGGAACTGATCATCGCACAGCAGATTTTGCCCATAGGAAGCATCGTTTTGCGATCGCTTTTGCAATCGCAAAAAAGGCACCGTTAAGCAGATTTGTCGTTATACGGGGCAATCGTAAAGCGAGGCACAACTGTATCTGGCATTCCCAAGTATCTGCTGCACGAGAGGCCACAGGGCCATGTCACTCAGTAGCCAAAGCAACTTAAGATAATGTGCATGTCCATGAAAAATTGAGCTACTTGAAATGAATTCAAAGCATTTGGGACTAGACAAATTATATTTTAGAGGAATCTTCAGGTGTCATCTCAGAATTTTTGAGAATTCTTGGCAGGCAGGTAAAGTGACAAGAGTCTGAAGAAATGTTTTGCCCATCTTTAAAAGCGATGGGAGGAGAGGATCGAAACCATGTATGGAGAATTAGTGCAGAGAAATTGCCCCAGAGGGAGACCATCGCTGCGATGCAAGGAGATCCACAAATGGGATCTGAAGGCCTTAGGAATGGACCTCAACAGACGGGAAACCCTGACATCTGAACGTTCAGCCTGGCCTCTCCCAATTTGAAGAGACACTTGTTCAGCAGGCCAAGGCAAAGAGGCAGTCCTGAAACCAGCAAAATCAGGGAGCTGGACAGGGGACAGATTGTATTTGTCTTCAGTGTGGGAGGGGTTGTCACTCTCAAATTGGCCTTCTCAGCCACACTAGATGCTGTTCCAAGTTCTCTATTCAGAGCACCACCATAGTCTCTTGAGACCAAAGGATGCCTAATCCTAATCCTAAAAAGTGCAAGGGGCAGTTAACAAACAAGCATTAAAATCAAACAGAAATGTTAGTAAATCAAATAATGAACATAATAAAATAAAATAAAACAAATCACATCTGCTGAGAGATCACTACTTCACCCATGGTGAGTGGCAGTGCATGAAAAGCCTTCCACAGCATGGATCAGATGCTCCTCCTCCTCATTTTTGCATCCTGGATCTCTTCACTGCCCGCCCTGGGGCTCCATCCATTCATAAAGGTCTTTACACCCACTCCCCAGGCCATGCACAGTGGGATGTGTAAGACACCACCAAATTATTCTGATTGATGTGTGTCAATGCAATAATTGCTATAGGCTATGAAAAATATTCCATCAATTTTAAAATGTGGATTTTTGACTCTTACTTTATATGGTTACAAGTCTGTACATTTTCAGACTGTAGTTTACTTGTAGATAGAAGAAAGACTAAATAAGAGCACATTATTGCAACTTTATATAGTAAGTTCCAATTACAGTAGGTACTTTTGAACCAATGGAATTTTTTGGCTCTGCTTACCCTGGTTCCTTTCCATAAGCTGTTCTTGTTTCACAACTTTGCTTCTCTTCATATGCCTTCCTCACAACCTGATTGACTTGTCAGCTTGATGCTAATACTTAGAAAGGTTCTAGTACCTTTCTAAAGTACCTTGAGGGGGAAAAAGTGCAATGATTGCAAAAATCCAGCCCAGGTTTCTTGAGAACATGTTTTGCCAATGTAATCTTATTTTTTAAAAATATAAGCCAGAATCCTATTGTAACTAGGAACTTTTGGGTAACAAGAGCATAACAGCAATCACATCAATACCTCTCCACTCTGGCAAACCTTCTGTTGCACAGCTGATCATGCAACAACTTGCACAAACAATCTCACAAGCAGTGCAAGACCAGATGAGCAAAAAAGGAGCCTGCTGGAGCAGTTGGGGGGACATGTGTAGTTGTCATTCTGTGAATGTGCAACATAACAGAATACTGGCCATGGAGTTACTAACCTAGTAGATCAAGGGAATGCGATCAACATAGCATATCTTGATTTCAGCAAAACTTCTGACAAGGTTTCCATCTCCCCTAATATTATTGTTGGCATGATGGTAAAATCTGGGCAAGATGGTGCTATACTTAGATGGATTCTAGCTGGCTGAAGCACTGAGACAAGCGTGTGTTCACCAGCAGCTCTCTTCAACCTGGAGAGCAGCAATTTCCCCTGGAGTCAGTATTGTAGTCTTTTTAAAGCTGCTGTACTGCACTGCCAACTCATCTTTATCTTGTAGTGTTCTTGGACTACAACTCCCATATGTTCTCGGACCACAACTCCCAGAAGCCTTCACCACCACTTCCGCTGGCCAGGCTTTCTGGGAATTGAAGTTCAAGAACATCTGGAGGCCCAAGGTTGGGGACCACTGTTGTAGTCTACTGAAACCCCTAGATACTTTTCATTTGTGCTGTGATTTATACACTACAGGAATTTGTTAATTACTATACTTTTCTCAGCAGCCAGGTTGCGGCTATGTCACATCAGTCCTGCATGTAATTTGTTGCTTGCTGTTACCACCACTGCAAATACCCAAATATATCTACTGGTTCACTCTAGTGGCCAATTTTGAAAGTACCCTTTGGAAGAATTAAAAAAACAAAAACAAGAACCAAGTATGAAACAAAATAATATTTTTGTTGCTACTCAAGACTGGTAAATGTCTGTCAAAAAACCCCAAACAATCAGGAAAGCATAGCTTGATGGGAACCTCCCAGTTTTTTTCTTCATTGGGAATGAAAGTTGAACCGGTTTAATTCTGCAGCATGGACACTTTTATAAAACACAATCTTCTTATTTATTGATCTTCCTCTTTCGTCTTTGATCAGTAGCCTGGCATATAAAAATGCAGCGAGGGAATCCCCTGCTCCACCCATGGGTGTGGAGGGAAAGTTAAGGGAAAGCCACTATTTATTTATTATTTATTTATTTTTTGGACTTATATACCGCTCCATAGCGCTACAAGCACTCTCTGGGCGGTTTACAATTTTAATTATACAGGCTACACATTGCCCCCCCAGCAAGCTGGGTACTCATTTTACTGACCTCGGAAGGATGGAAGGCTGAGGCAACCTTGAGCCAGCTACCTGGGATTTGAACCCCAGGTCGTAGCACAGTTTTAGCTGCAGTACAGCATTTTAACCACTGCGCCACGAGGCTCTAGCACTACCTGCTAGACTCGAAGGAAAAGAAGCAGAAAACAGTGACAACCAAAAATCTATCATTTATTTTATATATTAAAAAAATGGTCTTTGGATAGAGCCATGCCGTAGAAGTGACTTGGACCTCCTTACATGGAGAGATCAGGATAAGGGAGAAAGTGGTCACAATGAAATGCTGTGTTCCAGGTTTCCAGGCTCTTGAAAATTTGTGATACAGTGGTCAATTTTTAGGTGCAGGAACTATGTCCATCTCTATAGTCATGTTCTCAAGAAAAGCCCAGAAGCTATCCAGAGATATCAGCAGCTATCCTGATATACCCCAACAAACCAGGTATATGAGTTTTCTTCTCTATCAGGAGTGTGTCTTTTGTAAAACTAATGACCATTACTTTCCAATCAAAACCAATTCACCCCTAAAGACTTTGAATTATAATGGAAACAGCTCATAGCATTACTGTATATTATAGCAGAGGACATTTGTTTTGCCCATCCTGCAGCTAGTGCAAGATTTACAGCTAAGCTCAGAGGGAACAGGGAAATATAAACGGTCAGGTCAAAGAAAATGTCATCATTCCTGCTCATGA